GAGAGAGAGAGAGAGAGAGAGAGAGAGAGAGAGAGAGAGAGAGAGAGAGAGAGAGAGAGAAATTGTAATATAATTTCTACTTATGGGAACAGTTTTTCTTTAGAATCTACAGAAATCAGTTTACCTTGGCACTAACACTTTCGCAAATATGATTCAGTAATATGAATTTCGTTAAGAATATTATACACCACATGTTGTTAGCAAACATAAGTTTCAATTTAGCTGAATCGCTCCCATGCATATATTTTAAACACAATATCATATGATACTGAACATAAAATAATATAATTAAAATAACGAAGTAAGATATCATCTGCAATGTCAATTGCGTTCCAAATAAGTCATTTATGTTACGAGCTACTCGACAAAGCTCCAAATGAAGATGCCTAAAATAATATTATATTAATAAATAAATATATTTGTTATAAAATTATAGTACATTTATTAGATTGTTATCTTTATTGTGTAGACTTTGCATTTTATGTGCGTAAGAAGAATTTGTCTTATATCAAAATTCTGATTCGGAATGAATCGACTACCATTGTGATTTGTTGATTGTCATTCTAGTAGATATGTAAGGAGATACATTATTGTAGATAAGTACAAAGTTGCCACAAATTACTGCGGTATGTAAGATTATTATAATACAGCAAATAGCAATACATATACATTTAGTCAACATAATAATCTTTTCTTTTTTTTTGTACAAGACATGTTTTTAATGTTTCTGTATTACTTCATCTATTAATTTACATTACGGTCCATAACACGTGTTTGCGATTATCCGCGCTTCGAACATAGTGGCGAATGCGAAAAGACTTTTTCCACTTGCATCTCAATCCATACCCTTTAGCTTCTGATAGTTGTTCAATATAGTCGTTTATTTTATCCAATCTGGTATCAATATATCTGCAATTTAAATAATACGTAAATGAGGTGCCTATACATTTTTTTATACATGTAACAAAGCAAAAACCGAGTAATTTGTTCAATTAAAAATATTTATTTTAACATAAGAGTAAATAATTAAAGCTGTGAGTATGTGTGTGTTACGTCTAAATAAGTTAATTTATTTTAAGATATACATATGTACATATATATTGTTACAATATAATATTCTTAATTTTAAATTTAAAAATTTGTATATAATTCAATTACTAGATTTAAATATATTTTTAATGATATAATAAAATAATATAAACATTTAGAACAATACAAACCTCAACACAAACACAAACATTATATCTCCAAGAGTATTGACATAAAATGGATATGCCAAAACAAGAGGAATAATCATAGCTTTTAAAGTGTTATGCTTTTCTATATTCCAAATAGAGTCGGTAGCAAATGATATGAGAATTACTATAAGATACATAATTAACGCCCATATTATCGAGTTTTGAATTCTACTATATTCCTTGGGCGTTCCAAGTTTTTCCAATGTATCATCCACAAGACCAAGTTTCTTTATACATATGCGGATATTCTGAAGATAACACCACAAAAAATATACATATATATATGTATCAATCACGAATATTACTCTTATAAAAATTTATAAGAAATACATATACAACAACAATACATTTGATAATAAATCATAAATTCTAATAAGAATCTTATTAAAATTTCTTATATTGTTTAGCGCAGGATGAATTAAATCTAAAATGTTTTAATTAACATTTTCTGAAACTTCTCTTAAGAAACAAATATTAATAAAATTCTTTTTGAAGGGATACGAAAGTTTATTCTATGTAAATGCAAAAATACACTTATTCAGCTTAAATTTTAATTAAATTAATTTTTGTAAAATTAGTAAAAATAAAACTAACTGTAAAATTGACAAAAAAATTGTTTATTATGGATCTATTATTTGTTTCGCTTTAGATAAAGCAATGACGTAAATTTAAAAACAAAGATTTACCTCGTATTTGCGAACGGTGATGGTTACAGATATTATCGTCACAAGAAAATTTATATTTATCATAAAGAAAGTCAAAACGCTGTTGAATATACGCCTTGGTGAAAAGATGTGTATCACAAAATGAAACAAACCGATATAGAGACTCCACACAATTAATATATAAAAGATGCTCAAACGAAATTTCCAAAGATTGAGAGGATATCTGAGAATTCCGAAACCAAAGATAAAAGCGACTAAGGAGAGAGGACGTAAAGCTTTTTCTATAGTATCAACCATTGCAACTGTTGCAACTTCACATGCTAACTGTTAAATCCAAAGTTGAAAGTCACGTAATATATGTATAGAAGGCATTCATCACGATGATGAGATAATATTAATAGCTGATTAGATCAGCTCATTATAATGTCGTTAAATCATTAAACGATAGTACACATATATGTAGCAGAATCAATATTTCTACAATTAGTAATTTTTGAACTACATTGTTACATATAACAAATGTACATATGTCTAGTACCTATATCATGTAGGGTAAGTCGGAGTAAGATGCCAGTCTTTCGAAGATTTCATTGTTAATATTTTGTTTATTATTTTATACGTGGTAATATCTTTTAATTGTTAATGTGAAATTGTTAACATAATAACTGACGCGTGCAAGCTTTTTCACAGTTCCATGGTGTTAAAAAGAACGTATACAACACATGGAATTGTATTATATTTAAGAAGGATTATAATTTAGTCATTCTATTTGTGATAACGTTGCAAAATTTTATTTGTAATGTTTCATAAAATTTGTTTTACCGGTAAAGTAAGGTTTTGAAGTTTGTTCTGTATTGCTCAGTTACATGCAATTGTTAGAAAAAATAAATCAAAGTTTTGTATTCATATTACACTTCACTTATTGAGTGTTGCGTGTTTTTCAGCTTTTGCATTTTCTACTGTTACAGGCATTTTACTCAAATATACGAATAAAATGCCAATTTTGCAAGGTTATAATTTTGCAACGTATAATCAAATAATAATATTTTACAATAACTTTTAAAAGGCGACTATTTTTAACACTGTGAAAGTTTGCAAAAGTTTAAGTATCAGTTTGATAAAATTGAAGAGTGTTGTGATTATTTTTTGTTCGTATTTCTATATTTCTTAATTATGGCATCATTTTCCGACTTATCCTATATTCCGTCTGTAACGCGCACACACAAATTTTCTGTTCAGCTTAGATGATATTCATGAAGAGTTTATTTCTTATTTTACTAATCACTTATTTTATTTGGAAGAGAATATCATTATTCGCTAATGTATCATTGTACTAGTTTGCTTACCCTTTCTATACCACTGCACTTTGATTTATCCAAATCATCAATTGCAAGAAAAAGTAAGCTTGTAAGAGAAATAAAATTATTAAATTAGTTTAAATTAGTTAATTCTTCTTTGCAAACTCACGTTTTTCGAAGTAACAATAATAGAAGACAGAGATATTTATCTATTAATAGAAGATGTTTATCTATAATATGTTTAAATTTTCTTCCTAATGTCATTATGTTACATGAATTTGTTCATTTGTATTAGAATAACAACATACGTTGACACCGTGGCAAAGAACTGAAAAAAATTCATTATATATATGTATACATAATTTGCTATTTTTTTATTCTCATATTTCATGATTAAATAAAATAATGTAGACTTACGGTTTAATTTTTTAATATACGTATAAAAATTATGTCAAAGACATTATTATTAAAAATAAATAAATAAAATAAAATAAATTCATTTTAATGGTTAATATAACCAAATAAGTGAATAGCATACCTTGCCAGTAAGAGAATTATTAATTGAAAAGAAACCCGTAGCGGTAAAATTTAACGAATTAAGCACTACTTGCAGTGTAAATTGGTGAATCTGCAAAAAATACATTGAATTTATAAACAATCTTGCAACTTATGTTTTAAAAAAATTAATTATTTGATATAATTATATTATTATTAATATTAATACGTGAATAGATTTACCTCTTCTCGCATATCATCATCGATAATAGACCCTTCAAAAGATTGTATAATTTCACCGGTTTTGTACGCCTGAAATGAACATTAATATAATATATACAATGTGAATCTAATATAAAATTTTGAAAAATGCACTATATGTATATGTATATGATGCATATCATATATGAAGCATTAAAATTATTATACATACATATAAGTATTAAAAAACGTTCTGAATATATATATACAATTTAAATATACACAATAAATAAATTATGTAATGTGCCTGACATAAACTTAATATGATTAACTGTAACTAACTCAATTCTAAACATTGAGTATAATTAAATATAATGTTCTTATTGCAAAAAAGTTTTATACCTCCGTTGATGCATTCGTACAAATCCAATTTATGAATATAATTTTAAGTGAAAACACGGATGCTGTCATTGTCAAAGCAATAATCTCTTCGTTGTTGATGGTTACACTTAACTGGTTAGAAAATACGCCGTATATACAATAAAGAGTTGATGTTACCATCGTAAAATGGACTGCTAATTCGAGCAGAAGTTGCAGACAATAAGCTTGATTAATTTGCCGTCCTATTCTCGTAATTTCCAAATGTAAATGTCTTTGACAGAAAAATATTAATTAGTTGGTAATAACTTAAGTAAAAGTAAAAACTATAAATACTTGATTATTCGAATAAATTAACAATTCCAGATACATAGCGTGCATGTGTGTACTTAAAAGAGTGAAAAGAGAGAAAGATTATAAAATAGGCTTAATCTCTAATAAAATGATAAAATATTGTATATTGCGTTACACATATTTTATAAAAGAGTATGTAAAATGAAAAAAGTTTTTTAACTATTATATATTAGTCATAATTAGAATGTCTTTTAAATGTTTGTTATATCATATTAATGAAATTTAATAGAAGCAAGAATTATTATTGATCTTACCTTAGTGTCTGAATGAGATGTATTATCTTGTCTTTGTTATTTTTATAATTTTCTATGTCAAATGTAGTAGACGTGTTATCGTACCGATTGTGCGTCATAAAAACATTTGATTCATTTGTAGAAAGCATTATATTCTTGATTAGAATATTTGTGTTTTCAAATTTCACTTTAACACATCTGTCGCATTTCAATTTTAATCAGTATTCAAATGTGTAAACAGAACCGTGTTATATATTTATTCGTTCATTAAAAACAATTTAAAGAGATTTTATTGTAATTGCAAAATATCTTGGAAATAGAAGAAATCTTAACAATTCAAATCCTTTAGTTCTCACGATATACAGGGTGAGTTATAACATTTGTCCACGAGCTCGTGAGAAGGTAGAACGGATCGAGATGAACAGAAAAGTCCTGAAACATTTTGCAATTTTCGCAATAGTTAACGAGAAAAAAATTATCGAAAATCGTCGTCTTTGCCCTGCCCACTGTCCAATTCGAGCGCGTAGCGAGATGTGACCGCCCGGCGATCGATATTGCCTGGCGAGGGGGGAGGGGGGGACAGCGCGCAGTTGCCGGCGAGTTGTTTACG